TTATTTAAGCAGTACAAAAAAATACTACCATAATGTATAAAACCTAAACATTTCAAATAATATTTTTTATTATTATAATTTATTTACATTTTTTTTACAAAACATGAATGAAAATGTAACTTTTTGAAGCCTGTTTCCACCATGGATTTTTTTGGGGGGAAAAGTAATTGAGACTCTCTATCTCAAAATTCTTTTCTTTAAGTAAATTGAGAGTTTATATCTCACAATTCGGACTTTGTTTCTCACAGTTCTTGGGAAAAAGAATCGCAAGATATAAAAACACAGAAATGCAAGACATAACCTCACAATTCTGGAAAAAAAAAGTCAGAATTGCAAGATATAAACTTTTTTCTCACAATTGCAAGTTTTCATCTCCCAATTCTGACTTTTTTCACAATTCTGTTTTTTTTTCCTCATAATTCTGACTTTTCTTCTCACAATTACGAGAAAAACAGTCAGAATTGTGACATAAAATGTATTTTTATTTATTTTTATTTATTTTTTTTAATTCTGTGGCAGAAACAGGCACCCATAGAATTGGGAAGTACAATGTGATTAATTGTCATAAAAATGATGTTCCACTGCACATAAAAATGTGTAATCCTAAAAAAAAAAAGCTTCATTTACTTTTAGCAAAATATAATTTTATTTTTCTTTGCTATTATTTTGAAGTGAAATTATTCAGACAGTTTTTGTGAGATTCACCCAAATTTCCTTTTTTTTCAGTTTGAGTCTTAGGGGCCGTTCACACAGGACGCATTTTTGCGTTTCCACTGGTTTTCTATGTAAACATGCGCTAGATGGCCATGTGTGTCATGCATCTTACACGACAGTGATTTAAAAGTTCAAAAAGTTGTTTTTCATTCCATTGCGTTTTTAAACACAAAAACTTTTTTTTTTGTGAATGACCCCTTAAGTTTAAGCAAGGACTGATGACATCACAGATGTCAAAGGGCATTCCTATGCTTTGAAGGATTAGATTTTTCCTGCCAACACATTTGTAGTCATTTATTATCATTGATTTGAATTTCTCTAATCGTCTGCACTGTATACTCCTATGTTAAGCACCACAAGCTCTTATTCCAATAAAAAACAACCAGACAAAATGAAAGCACATTGCACTACCAAATTTCAAAGCAGTTAAAAGTTTTAACAAAGACCTCCGTGTGAACTGCAGCAAACTACAAACTACTGCAAACAGCCCAAAGGGATGTAGGATAGGGAGTTACGCAAGGCTACGGGCTTAGACCTCTCACGATTCCGAGCAAGAGACAGGACAAGAAACCACGAAAGCAAAACTATTGCACAGTAGCACACTGTTACAACAGCCGTCGATCTAAATCCAACCCTCCGTTCAGCTGCCACTGACCAAACAATCCCAAACACATCCGAGGAAAAGCAACCTAAATGATGACCAACTTTTTTGACACACCTTGTTTGAAACCGATGGACAAAAATGAATTGCTTTGAATATATTCATATATAGATATAGATATTATATGTACACAGCAGAGTATAACCGTGATAAAACAGTAAATTAGCTCACCATGCTAATTGAATGAGTTCGATATTCTTTAAAAAAAATAATTCAAACACATCATGAATCCACCGGACATATTGATGTAACTACCCAAAAATTATGTAGAAATGTAACTTCTGCTCTAAAAAAGCTTCCATAAAGGCCTATGTGTATATATATGTATGTATATATAAAGAGCTATGTGTATATATATATATATATATATATATATATATATATATATATATATATATATACCATATATATCAACTGGGAGCTTAAATGTTATTGACCCCTTTAGAGTGAACAACTTATTAAAATCAACTATAAAAATGGAATGAAAAAACAACAGGAGTAATATATATAAGTATACACAAGCACACACATAATGTATATACTCAGCTTAAAAAACACAAAGATCAGTGTGAAAACAATACAAGAGCAAATCATTGTTGTTTTCTGCTGTATTTCATCCCCTTGTTCTGCCGTTCATCTTTCCGAGCTTGTTCTTCTGTGCCATCCTTCATTTCCATGACCGAATTGACTAAAGATTTATCCGGAGAAGTTCGGAAAGCATCCCTTCTGGTGTTGACGGAGTAAAAGCCGTGTTACTCAGTGGTCGACGCTTTCTTAGTTTTGCCTCGTTTCTTTCTAGGGGGCTGTGTGTCTCTGGCCTGGGCTGGATTCCCACTGTCCACTGGGGAAGGGGGAGTGGTTGGGGTGTTGGTGACGGGGTTGGGCATGGGGGTTTGGCTTTCTGGGGCTGGGCTTACGGTCTGGGGTGGAGCAGAGCTGAAGCTCTGAGTCTCTGCTGGAAAGGGGGCTGTCACCAGGTGGTGCTCTTTGGGCTTTCGTCCCCTCCTCTTCCCATGCACTACCTTTTTCATGTCCTTCTGTAAGCCATTGCTCTCTGGCTCTTTTTTCTTGTTGTTAGTCACCTTATTGGTAGACGCCCGAAACCAGTTCTGTGCACATAAGGCCACATCAAGTTTAAAGAGGAACCGATAACAAGGACTATTAGTGAATTTGCATGAATTTTCAGCCTTAGAACATTTTAGAAGGAAACTATTCATCTAGAAACCCCTCAAAACAAAAATTCAAGTTAGCAAGGTTTTCGTGATGATACAAACTTGTGTAGTGTGCAGGATTTATATTGTTCAATATAGCTGTAAGAAAATAATAATTTCCATATGACGGCAGAGATGTTGCAGAGACCTTTGTTAAAACAATAAATCCAACCTGCACATGCAGATTTATAAGTGGGTTAACTTAAGGATTCAACCGATTTTCTGCAAAATCCAATCCCTCCAGTCAATATTTAAAATCTATTCAAAAATATAAAAGTTCATTAATGAAAAATTCATTTCAAATGTCTTGGTTATTTTAGATAATTCTGAATTCTGAAAATAAATTCTGAAAATGTTCTGATAATCAGATTACACACCTATAATAACTAAAACTAAAACCAAAACTAAAATATATAAAAATCAAAAGAGTGTCTATAAAATAAAATCTAAGCTAAAATGTAATGTAAACATATGTAAACTTATAAAACTTATGAACAAATGGAAATATGATTAAAATAAATTCAATGGATTCTGAAGATAATAGTGTACTTTTTGTTTTGTTTTTGCAAACTTGTTCAAACTTGTCTTGTTCATTCATATTGAACTTGCTGTGAACAGGCCTTAAAGAGATAGTTCACCCAAAATGAAAATTCTGTTAACAGCCATAGTATTTTTCCATACTATGGAAGTCAATGGCAACTGTCAATTGTTTGGTTACCAACATTCTTCAAAGTATCTTCTTTTGTGTTCAACAGAAGAAAAACACTCATACAGGTTTGGAACAAGTGGAGGGTAATAATTTTCATTTTTGGGTGGACTATTCCTTTAACAGTCAACATTTCTTAATACTAGAAGACTATGAAGGGCAAATGTTCAGCTTATTTTGTTAAGCATACAGAATACAGGTTTAGTGAGTGTTTGGTTTACCTGAGAGTGTGTCTTGCTGATATGGTACTTCACACCGCTCTCAGAGTTAAACTCCTTCTGACAGAGCAAACAAGTGTACTTCCCTACGTCGCCCCCTCCCTGTGTGGAGAACAATAACAACAGTAAAGCTGATACAGTATCAGCAATATCTGAGATCAAACGTATACAGCTTATACAGTTGTTTAAATTATTTATAATTAAATAACAACTACGGCAAAGCACACAGAGGACTTGTTATACCTTGTTACAGCTTGCCAAGTGTGCTTTAAGTCCAGATACACTTGAGTAGATAGCCTCACAGTTCTGTTATGAAATAAAAAGAGACTTGAGGAGAAGAACTGAACAACAAAAATGTCAAAAAGATTTTCAGCATTTTTAAACAATTTTCAAGAGCTCTTCAGTTTCTCCAGCAAATCTAAATCTACTGATATCATTCAGATGTTCATATTACATTTTTTTAATTGCTTTGGTGCAATTTTCAAAAGCACCTGTTAAATTTTCAAAACTTAGTACTAATATCACAACAGATCATCAAAAGTGCACTTTTTTCAAACATTTCAGCATATTTTCAATTGTCTTAGTACAATACACACAGTCACAAAATATCCTTTTCACTACACATAATAAGTGTTTCATCTATATAAATGTTCATTCACAGTAACTGCCTTTCATAAAGCTGTCACTATCAAACTTTTCATTTGCATTTCATTTTACATTTACTACACTGACGGTAAACTCTCTTCTAGCACAAAACCTTATGGCCATGTCATACCTTCATCACACCTTTTGATAACACACTGGATAAATAATTTTACAAACATTATGGATTTTAAGTGAGTTATGCAAGATAGGTAATGTAAGTGTATTTTCTAAATACAATTTTTGCCTGTTTTACTGTATAATTATTTCAGCAACAAAGGTGATTTGAAACATGTATCTTGCATTGTTTGCTCTTGAATGAACTAATTGTTAAAAGTACTAAATTGAAAGATGATCACAATGCTGTGTTTCAGTGATTAAATCAAATGTTCTCAGCATATATTATACTAATCTTGTGTTTTGAAACAATGATTTTGTGGATGAAAATATGTGTAATTGTAATGAAAGCATGAGATCAGGTTTTGAAAGAACGACTAGTGATGTTACAAGTGTGATCATTTTGATTTTTTGTGCTAAGAGTTTTGAAAATATACACCTTACTTGTGAAAATAGTACCAAAGCGGATAAAAAAAACTGTACGGTCAGAATCTGTCATTGAAGTACTAGAAACTGTTAAAGTCAGTGTTCAGTCAGAAAAAAAAAGACAAATTCTTACACAATTGGGGCAGCAGATAAATCCTTTTTCTTTCACCTCGTTCTTCCAGCTGTTCACAGTTTCTGGGCTAAAGTTGGGAAGGCCTGGTCGTGTATAGTTGAGCTATAAAAGAAAGTGTGTACACAGCTATTAAAAAATAAGTAGTTAAATGTGTATATGAGTAGTAACAACCAAAATTTAGAAAGAAACTACATTTTTAAGTAGCATGATATTAGCATGATATTAGTTTGGCAAAAAGTAGCAGAACAGAGAGACAAAACATTTCAATTAAATAGTACCTATGCTTCAATGATAAAGTAAATATAAAATAAATATTTAAAATTACATTATTCTGTTTATCACTATACTTTTTCTAGGACTGTCAAATGAATAAAATTAACAGCACATCAATTTTCAAAGTCATTATATGTATATATATATATATATATATATATATATATATATATACCATATATATCAACTGGGAGCTTAAATGTTATTGACCCCTTTAGAGTGAACAACTTATTAAAATCAACTATAAAAATGGAATGAAAAAACAACAGGAGTAATATATATAAGTATACACAAGCACACACATAATGTATATACTCAGCTTAAAAAACACAAAGATCAGTGTGAAAACAATACAAGAGCAAATCATTGTTGTTTTCTGCTGTATTTCATCCCCTTGTTCTGCCGTTCATCTTTCCGAGCTTGTTCTTCTGTGCCATCCTTCATTTCCATGACCGAATTGACTAAAGATTTATCCGGAGAAGTTCGGAAAGCATCCCTTCTGGTGTTGACGGAGTAAAAGCCGTGTTACTCAGTGGTCGACGCTTTCTTAGTTTTGCCTCGTTTCTTTCTAGGGGGCTGTGTGTCTCTGGCCTGGGCTGGATTCCCACTGTCCACTGGGGAAGGGGGAGTGGTTGGGGTGTTGGTGACGGGGTTGGGCATGGGGGTTTGGCTTTCTGGGGCTGGGCTTACGGTCTGGGGTGGAGCAGAGCTGAAGCTCTGAGTCTCTGCTGGAAAGGGGGCTGTCACCAGGTGGTGCTCTTTGGGCTTTCGTCCCCTCCTCTTCCCATGCACTACCTTTTTCATGTCCTTCTGTAAGCCATTGCTCTCTGGCTCTTTTTTCTTGTTGTTAGTCACCTTATTGGTAGACGCCCGAAACCAGTTCTGTGCACATAAGGCCACATCAAGTTTAAAGAGGAACCGATAACAAGGACTATTAGTGAATTTGCATGAATTTTCAGCCTTAGAACATTTTAGAAGGAAACTATTCATCTAGAAACCCCTCAAAACAAAAATTCAAGTTAGCAAGGTTTTCGTGATGATACAAACTTGTGTAGTGTGCAGGATTTATATTGTTCAATATAGCTGTAAGAAAATAATAATTTCCATATGACGGCAGAGATGTTGCAGAGACCTTTGTTAAAACAATAAATCCAACCTGCACATGCAGATTTATAAGTGGGTTAACTTAAGGATTCAACCGATTTTCTGCAAAATCCAATCCCTCCAGTCAATATTTAAAATCTATTCAAAAATATAAAAGTTCATTAATGAAAAATTCATTTCAAATGTCTTGGTTATTTTAGATAATTCTGAATTCTGAAAATAAATTCTGAAAATGTTCTGATAATCAGATTACACACCTATAATAACTAAAACTAAAACCAAAACTAAAATATATAAAAATCAAAAGAGTGTCTATAAAATAAAATCTAAGCTAAAATGTAATGTAAACATATGTAAACTTATAAAACTTATGAACAAATGGAAATATGATTAAAATAAATTCAATGGATTCTGAAGATAATAGTGTACTTTTTGTTTTGTTTTTGCAAACTTGTTCAAACTTGTCTTGTTCATTCATATTGAACTTGCTGTGAACAGGCCTTAAAGAGATAGTTCACCCAAAATGAAAATTCTGTTAACAGCCATAGTATTTTTCCATACTATGGAAGTCAATGGCAACTGTCAATTGTTTGGTTACCAACATTCTTCAAAGTATCTTCTTTTGTGTTCAACAGAAGAAAAACACTCATACAGGTTTGGAACAAGTGGAGGGTAATAATTTTCATTTTTGGGTGGACTATTCCTTTAACAGTCAACATTTCTTAATACTAGAAGACTATGAAGGGCAAATGTTCAGCTTATTTTGTTAAGCATACAGAATACAGGTTTAGTGAGTGTTTGGTTTACCTGAGAGTGTGTCTTGCTGATATGGTACTTCACACCGCTCTCAGAGTTAAACTCCTTCTGACAGAGCAAACAAGTGTACTTCCCTACGTCGCCCCCTCCCTGTGTGGAGAACAATAACAACAGTAAAGCTGATACAGTATCAGCAATATCTGAGATCAAACGTATACAGCTTATACAGTTGTTTAAATTATTTATAATTAAATAACAACTACGGCAAAGCACACAGAGGACTTGTTATACCTTGTTACAGCTTGCCAAGTGTGCTTTAAGTCCAGATACACTTGAGTAGATAGCCTCACAGTTCTGTTATGAAATAAAAAGAGACTTGAGGAGAAGAACTGAACAACAAAAATGTCAAAAAGATTTTCAGCATTTTTAAACAATTTTCAAGAGCTCTTCAGTTTCTCCAGCAAATCTAAATCTACTGATATCATTCAGATGTTCATATTACATTTTTTTAATTGCTTTGGTGCAATTTTCAAAAGCACCTGTTAAATTTTCAAAACTTAGTACTAATATCACAACAGATCATCAAAAGTGCACTTTTTTCAAACATTTCAGCATATTTTCAATTGTCTTAGTACAATACACACAGTCACAAAATATCCTTTTCACTACACATAATAAGTGTTTCATCTATATAAATGTTCATTCACAGTAACTGCCTTTCATAAAGCTGTCACTATCAAACTTTTCATTTGCATTTCATTTTACATTTACTACACTGACGGTAAACTCTCTTCTAGCACAAAACCTTATGGCCATGTCATACCTTCATCACACCTTTTGATAACACACTGGATAAATAATTTTACAAACATTATGGATTTTAAGTGAGTTATGCAAGATAGGTAATGTAAGTGTATTTTCTAAATACAATTTTTGCCTGTTTTACTGTATAATTATTTCAGCAACAAAGGTGATTTGAAACATGTATCTTGCATTGTTTGCTCTTGAATGAACTAATTGTTAAAAGTACTAAATTGAAAGATGATCACAATGCTGTGTTTCAGTGATTAAATCAAATGTTCTCAGCATATATTATACTAATCTTGTGTTTTGAAACAATGATTTTGTGGATGAAAATATGTGTAATTGTAATGAAAGCATGAGATCAGGTTTTGAAAGAACGACTAGTGATGTTACAAGTGTGATCATTTTGATTTTTTGTGCTAAGAGTTTTGAAAATATACACCTTACTTGTGAAAATAGTACCAAAGCGGATAAAAAAAACTGTACGGTCAGAATCTGTCATTGAAGTACTAGAAACTGTTAAAGTCAGTGTTCAGTCAGAAAAAAAAAGACAAATTCTTACACAATTGGGGCAGCAGATAAATCCTTTTTCTTTCACCTCGTTCTTCCAGCTGTTCACAGTTTCTGGGCTAAAGTTGGGAAGGCCTGGTCGTGTATAGTTGAGCTATAAAAGAAAGTGTGTACACAGCTATTAAAAAATAAGTAGTTAAATGTGTATATGAGTAGTAACAACCAAAATTTAGAAAGAAACTACATTTTTAAGTAGCATGATATTAGCATGATATTAGTTTGGCAAAAAGTAGCAGAACAGAGAGACAAAACATTTCAATTAAATAGTACCTATGCTTCAATGATAAAGTAAATATAAAATAAATATTTAAAATTACATTATTCTGTTTATCACTATACTTTTTCTAGGACTGTCAAATGAATAAAATTAACAGCACATCAATTTTCAAAGTCATTATTGTGTTAGAAGAGTAAATCATTAAATATACATTAAAAAATTCGTTTTTTAAAATGAATACTGAAACATGAAATTATTTTTTAATGAAATGAATCATTGTTTTACTGAGTGAGTCATTCATTCATTCAACCGATTTATTTTTTTTCCATATTTAATCACATCAAATTAGCACATTAAATCAACAGCCCTAATATTTTCATATAGTCTTTAATGAAATATAAATTAAACTTGATGCTGTCAAACTAATTGATATCGCCATTGCTTTGTGTTATATAAATACTGCTAATAAACAAATCTCAGATATTTACATAATTATATAATTTGCCAGGCTACTTTGTCACAAACTTATAGTTTTAGCTTCAACACTGCTGTACCCTCTTGATGTCTGGTACGAGGTCATCTTTGATGCGTCGTTTGGTGCCCCAGTCTTTGGCCAGCTCGTCCTCTGCGATCTCCTGCAGGTGGAACACCGCCACCTGAGCCGAGCGCCGGCGCACCCTGCCACTGGGCGTCCTCTCCAAATCCAGCAGCTCCTCCATCTCTGTTTTCTCCTCCTTCCTCTCCTCCATCTTCTCCACCGGTTCGTCTACTCTCTCCTTTGACTTCTCTCTGCCCTTCTTCTGCACAGGCTCTTCCTCTTCTTCCTCCTCCTCCTCCTCCTCTTCTTCGTCCTCCAGCACATCCTCTTCATCTTTACTGTCTTCCTGTTTCCAGTCCTCAGCTGTGAGCTAAATGGGGTGATATAACAAGACATTTAAATACATCTGGATTAATTACTTATCAATAACATGACACTGCTTGTGACATCAGATTAGCACTGTGACATGTAGTGTGGCTGTGTAATCTCACCGAGTGTGTGGACAGGGCAGTGACGGGGTGCTCGGTGCGCAGGTGGTAGTCACGGCCAGCTTTCGAGCGATATGTCTTACCACAGTGCTGGCACAGGAAGACAGGCTTCTGTCCGTCTGGTAGCTCTCTGCCACAGCGTTTCTGATGATACTGATAACCCATCAGATTGGAGAAATGAGCTGAACAGCCCTGTTTGACAGAGAATCAAACATACTTCATTAATTCACTCATTGATCCGTGGGCTGACAGTTTGGGTATAGCGTTCCTTTGAAGGGGTCTGTTTGTTAAAAAAGAAAATTCTGCCATTAATTACTCACCCTCATGTCGTTCCACGCCCCTAAGACCTTTGTTCATCTTCAGAACACAAATTTAGAAGCCCTCATTACGGGCACTCCAGCGCTGGGCTTATAGTACAGCACTATTGGATGCATTCCCCATCAATGTTTTAAACGCAACGGGACAGACCATTTGATAGGGAATGCTCCGGTTACTAACATAACCTCAGTTCCCTGAGATAAGGGTACGAGTGTTGTGTAGCTTGCAGTGCTATAAGCCTGCATGCGAGTCACTGACTGTCACTTTCAGTCAAAGATTCTAACTAAATGGCACTCTGAGCCAACTTATATAGCAGTCAGCTCCTCCCCTTTTGGCGAGCTGAACTGCCATTTGTTCAGGCTTAAAGGGTTAGTTCACCCAAAAATTACTCACCCTCATGTCGTTCCACACCCCTAAGACCTTCGTTCATCTTCAGAATGCAAATTAAGATATTTTTGATCAAATCCGATGGCTCAGAGAGGCCTTCACTGACAGTAATGCCACCCAAACTTTCAAGATCCATAACGGTACTAAAGACGTTTTTAAAACAGTTGACGTGACTACAGTGGTTCTACAATAATTTTATGAAGCGACGAGAATACATTTTGTGCGCAAAAACAAAACAAAAATAATACCTTTATTCAGCAATCTCTTC